CCTCTCATCAAAAGTCTGTAAACTGCATACATTCACAAGAAAGTATCAAATAAACTAAATTAAGGAACAGCCTTAAAAAAAAACCCATGCTCTCAAAACTGCCAATATGAAACATAAAAAGAAACCAAACAACTGTCCTTTCTTTTAATAATCTGCCCAGGGCTTGGTGCAAGGTCCTGAGCTCAATCCTCAGTAACAAAAAGAAAATCTGCCCAGTATTGGAGATTAAAAAGATGTGGATATTGAATAAAATATATTATCTAGTCTTTCTTCACAATAAAGCACCTTATTTGCATAACGGGAGAAACCTGAATATGACATCAATGCTAATTTCAATAATAGTTCTATGTAACTTATGGAAAGGCAATGTCCTTACTTTTAAGGAACTAAACATTTTAATGCACAGAGGCGAGAGGACAACATGGACAAAACTTACTATCAGTGTAGGGAAAATATACAGATATATACATATATATATATATATAATAATAGTAAGGATAAAATCTTAATGTTAAGAAAGTAAAATCTAAATAAAATGTATATGGAAATTTTTTATCCTATTCTTGCAACTTTTCTGTTAAGGTTGAAACTGCTGAAGTAATTAGCTAAAAGAGTTTAAGCTCACTTTAAAAGTTATTAATTTCAACAATTTGAGGAACCAGATTGTAAAAGATTAAGAAGTAAAAAGTAAGGTATCTACTGTTGAGATCTTGGGTTTTATGAATACTCTGACCTCATTCAAACTCTGAATATTATATAATTATGATCAAGTTGCTTTTGTCTTCTCTGATATTTCTCTGTTTTACGGAAGCAATACAGAATACACTGCAGACTCATATAGGATGCAATGAAATCGTGCATATCAAAAGGTAAGAAAAACATCAATTCCAGAACTAGGCCTCCTAGTTTTAAACTCTCTGTAGCCATTTCCTAGCTGCAGGACATCAAACCAGTTACTTAACCTCTCTGTGCTACAGTTTTCCCAACAGGAAATAGAGTACTAGTATTGACTTCAAGGGTTCTTGTAAAGACTGAAGTTACCTGATTCAGGCACTTGAAACAAATAATACTTGTCACACAGCAAGCAGTGCACGCATGATAGTTATTTTTATTATTACACAGAGCTCATAAAGAATTAAGAATTTCGAAACATGTTAGCTATCATGACCATATACAACATTACTCTCACTAATATTTTTCAAAGAGGTTTAATGGTAAACAAAAAGAGAAGTTAATTTTTTCTCTTACAACAGGAAGACCAAAGCATATTGTAGAGACAAATAATACAGAAATAAAGCTCTGAAGACCTCAGTTTCTTTCTTTATAAAAAATACCTGAGAGTTTAAGGGACGTGAATTAAACAGGTATCTAAGAACATATTTCTTTAATTTTGAACACATTGATATAAACACTTTTAAATTCCTTCCTTTTCTTGTAATACCCACTAGACTTTGGGGGGCGGTATTGGGGGTCAAACTCACAACCTCGCGCTTCCAGGAAGACTTTATGCCGCTGAGCTAAATCCCCAGGCCCCCACTAGACTTTATGCTCCCTTTTTATAGACCCACCTAGAATCTCCCTCCTCAAAAAAAGTTCATTAATGGAAATTTTTTAACAAAGTCAAGAAGAAAATATATAAAAATGGAAAAAGGTTACAGATAAGTAAAAGTTTGATTTTTAACAGTTTTAAAATTCTATTTTTGGACTCATTATCAATAATGTCTATGGGGGCATGATACTGATAAATGTTTATAGGCCTACAGGAAAAGATGCCTAAATACTGAGAAAAAAGTTACAAGAGAAATAAAATATATAGGTCACATTAATAATAATAAACTGATAGTAAACTGTGGTGTCAACTTGAGTAAGAAATGCCTAGCAGGACAGCACAGCACAGTTACAGATGTGTCTTGGATGATGTACTTCCTCAAGAGGGAGACCCACCAGCCGAAAGGCTCATAGAAGGAAAAGGAAAAGCAGGAGAAAGGCTTGCTACTTGCTTCTTGCCTTTGGAACGTCAGTCTGTAGGCTTCCAGCACAGACTCTTCAGTGTTCCAGAGCCTCTTTTACCTGCCAACACGGACCCTTCAGCTTCCTGAGGTGCAGGGACTCTGCAGTGAGCTCCCGGCCTCAACTTTTGACTCGATCCTCCAGCTCTCCAGCACCTACACAGCTTTTCTCCTACTCCGACTCTACAGGCAGCCACTGTAAGCCTCCCTTGTGTATCCTTTATAGATCATATACATGTATATATGTATATACACACATTTTATATAAATATATAAAATATTAGAGATATTAAATCTGTTCCTCTAGCAAACCCTAAATGATACAATAAATAATTTTTATACTTTTATTTTTATATTTCTGGAGTAATTTACTGCAGCTCAGATACTGGGGATTAGGAAATAATTAAAAAGGAAAAGTAAGTGGGGCACGGTGTATCCTGGGAGGCCGAGACTGGAGGATAACAAGTTTACGCCCACCCTGGGCAACTCCGCAAGACTGTGTCTCAAAATAAAGCAAAACCCTGAGTTCAATCTAAAGGAAAGGGAAGGGAAGGGAAGGGAAAGGAAGGACACAGAGAAGGAGACCAGAAAGGAGGGGAAGAGCAGGAAAGTGAGGGGAAGGGACGGGAGGCCAGGAGAGAGGAGAAGAGAAAGGAAGAAAGGGAAAGGGAAATTCAAGACTGCATAAAATTTTCCCATTCTAATACAGTGTACCTAAAAAGCAACAGAAGTCAGGTACAGACAGCCAATAATTCCTACATTAAACATATACTAGTCTATATATATTTAGTCTATATATATATAACATATTTAGTCTATATATATATATATATATATATATATATATATATATCAATGTCTCCAAGTAAAATTAGTACTACTAATGCAGGGAGTTATTCCACAAAAATTACTGTACAGTTTAGCAATTCAGAAAGTAGTTGTATAAAATCGTAATTATGGTATTAAATATTATTACACATTAGCCCTAAGAGAACATTAAAATAGCTGCCTAACTGCCATATATTCTTTAAGCTTATGATTTTTATAAATCTTGAGAAGTAATTCCTTAAATAATCTCCTTTTATTTATTATTCCATAATAACATCTCTCTTGGGAAACAATTCTTTTAGTTTGTTTATTTATTTGTTGTTTTGATACTGGGGATTGAACGCACGACCTCACATTTATCAGGCAAGCACTTGAACTGCCGAGCTAAATTCTCGGCCCCAAAATTTTTGAAATTAACATAAAATTAAAAACGTATTTTTATACCAAAATAAGATCTATCATTCTAGTGAAATGGAGCTCATTTGGACCTGTGTCTTTCCTGAAGGGGCAGTTAGAAAAAAAAAAAGGGAAAAAGATCTAGCATCATTATCATTTGAATACTGAACCCTATTGTTTCCACGTAGGTTTATGTTAAAGAGACTATATTTATTTATTTATTTAGTCTTTTTAAAATATGCTTTTTAAGAACTGCTATGCAATTCTGGCTGCCTCTGAGCTCACTCTGTAGCCCAGGCTGGTCTCCAACTTGCAACAGTCCTCTGCCAATTGCTGAGATTACAGGAATGCACTACCATACCCAGCTCAACAAGGACTATTCTTAAATGATCTTCCCTGTAGTATGCAAGGAAACTTGCTTTCCTCTCAATAACCATCGGTTATTATCAGAACGGAGGACCCAGGAGAATATGGGCCATAGGAAGGGGTAACAAACTAAGTTCAGATGCAACTATCATCACCAGCCCTTTGATCTTTCTGCAATGGAATTGGATCATTCCAATTCCATTATAAATTCTCAAATGCCCACCCTCTACTGCACTGTCAGCAGGCATTTACCATTTAGTGGTCTTCTACTAGTAAGAATAAAAATTGTTTCTACATTCTCTGTAATCTGAATTTCTATAAGTTATCAGATACCTTATATTGATGGAACTATGTAGGTTGTGATCAAGCTAACATGTTAATCAAGACTGATGAGAGACAACTGGATATCACTCATCAACCAGAGAAACACAGCAGAAATTTTTCCTCTGGTGTGTAAGAGAAGTCAAAGATCTGGCTAGACATGGGAAGACCTGAGAATGAATGCAGTGTATTAAAAAAAGGAATCCTACATACCTATTATAGTTCTAAAAGGCATTTTACATACCAGCACCAATCAATGTTTTTAAACAAAGAAAATTCTATAGTTCTTAATTTTTAACATTACTTCACCAAAACTGTCTTGTAAATCTTTCAAATTTTACTTCTTAAGTACCTTAAGAATGGTACTGATCTCTAAACCAAAGGTTCCACACTTTGGTTGCAAAGTAAATTTTCCTGAAAAACTTTTATCATACTGCGATCTTGGTTTCACTCAATCAATTCTAATTCAGCTGGTCTATGACAGGAACCACATATACAATGTTTTTTTTAAAAGTCTCAGAAGACCTGTAGTATGCAGCTATAATTGAGAGCGACTTTTTAAACAAGAGTAACAATGATAACTACTATTTACTAAATATATGTGTCTGGTATAACTGTAAGTACTTTACATGAACTAGTTTCATTCTCTATTTCATAAATGAGAAAATAGAAACGTAAAGTGAACTGCCCAAGATCACACAGTCACTTCATGGCAGAGTAAAGCCTTTATCTCAGGCAGTTTGGATCCAAAACCCATCTTCTTACTACGCAGTCTCCTAAGCATGAATCATGCTTGTATTTCGTACTGGAAATAAAATGATCAATGGAAAACACAAGGATAATTTCTTCTTTCTTTGTAGTACAGTAGCATCTTATGCAAAGGTACCAACATAAACTTACTAGAAGTGTAAATAGACAACCTTCCTTTTACAAGATTCAAATTTGAGGTTTCTACACTTTCAATAATTTCTCACATACTACCTCATGCAGCAGTCACTCAATGTTAAATATGAAACTGCTTTAGTTTTGAAACTTAAAGCAAAAATGTACTAGAAATACACTTCTAAGAAAGTGTCCTACCTATTTCTGTTCTGCCAAGTCCAATTCCATTATAAATTCTCAAGTAACTAAAATGACAAGAATCAGAATCTTCAATGTCAACATCACCCAATTTGACCCGAATTCGTTCTCCCATCTTGACACGGATCTCCCATTTGCAAACGGTACTGTTGGGATAGGTCTGCGGGTAGTTTATAGACGCAAGAGTTCCACTTTCAGGGCCTAGTACAGTGTGTCCGCATCCATCACCTTAAAAAAAAAAACAAAAAAAAAAAAAACGGGGTGATAAACTGTTCTTTCGTTTTAAACTTCTGAGTAATCAAGATTTTTTATGGCGATTTAAAAATACGCATGACCTCAGATATTTATACCACCAGTATATCTTTACAGAATATAAAACAAAAGACATAGCTCTTAGCATATCTAGTCGCAAAAGCCAAGAAAAATCAAGTCAGGTTCAAATAATGATTACTTATGTAATTTATAAATTCAAAGACCTTTACAATCTGAACATACCTTAAAACCCAACTTAGCAAAGAGTTACAAATATATAAAAATATCAAAATGGCCTAATATTTAAAACAATACCAATTTATACTATTTAAGATAACTAATATAAAAATGTGAGCAGCTTCACCTTTTTTTAACAATAGCAAGCTCCTAAAATCTCCTGTGAAGCAGGACTATTTCTTAATAACAGTTAACATATAAAAATTATGCAAACTATTGATCCTACTACAGATTACAAATCATTCCTTTTGAAAGTAGTTGATTTTGAAGTTTAAGTTTATATTCTACTGACATTTGACTGTCTTGTTGTTCCTTCTCCAAAGATCTATTTTTTCCTATAGAATAGAGAAAATAATTAAAAGTTTAATAGGTTATTAAAGATTAAGAAAAAATTACTTTTATATGATGGTTCTGACATTATTTGCTTCATTTATTTTTCAGCAAGTAAATACAAGAACTTAGATAACCAGCTTATTGTTTGTAAAAATAAAATATCTGCATCTCTCATTTTATGTATGCAGGAGGCATTGATTAAATGTTCATTTACAAGTTTCGGCTGTTTCTACAACTGTATTATTTAGCATTCATTAACAACATGATTCAAATGAATCACATCCTTTTAATAGGATGACTAATGTATGACAATGGGATTCAAATGAATCCCTTTCTAACAGGATGGCAAATATATACTTTTAAAATAGAAGCATTTTCTTGCTTAAAAATTATTTATAATCATGTTATTGGAATAGTACAGTATTTACACAAAAACTGTACTAAATGTGATACGGCTGACTTTTAACCTCACTATGAACACAACTCTAAGAGAATTTTCTTGATTATTTTTAACAGTACTGATATCACTTATTAGAACAAATTAATTTTAAAAATTATACACATAAAAATTTTATACAAAAATTATATACCTAAAATTATATGCATAAAAATTATACACATAAAAATTTTACATAGTATCTAGAAAGTAGTAGATAATAAATATTAATAGTATGAATAAGGAAATGTTATGAAAAATTAATTCCAAACTAGTCCCAACTTTAATGAAGAAACAAATCATGTAACTCTTATGGTAATACTTACAAGTCATATCCTTTACTGACAAAGAATTTTTACCCTTGAGTTTGTATTAATATTCATCCCTGGTCTACTTTTTGTTTTTAATCAGGAATCGAACTCAGGACCTTTTACTGCTGAGCTATAGCTCCAGCAACTCTCCTGGCCTACTTTTAAAAGGCAATACTAAATATATGTGTGCTTGCTAGAAGTGTTATAATCTTTAAAAACCACTGGATAAATGAAATAACTCAAAATATTAGTGTGTTTTCTTTAGTAAACAAAAGCTAAGGCCGCTTTTAGAGTAACTGAAATGTTTATCCATAACTTTGCAACAGCAGATTGTTTAATGCATCCCCCATAGCCAATTAGTCAACCCAAGGTCATTTTAAAATGTGCTTTATGAAAAAATAAAGGAGAGGGGTTAGAGTAATTTTAGATGTCTTTATGTTTCTGTTTGATCTTGAATAAATACAATGTTTCTTGTCCTTTACACCATAAAGCATAAATTCTATATAAGTTAATAAACTGATAAAAACAGATCTTTTGCATACATGGTGATAAAAAACAAAACAGAGCTGTCTTTCTTTAAGAATCTGTGTGGGGGGTGGAGGGCAGAAAGAGTCCACAAGAAATGTGCCAAGAATGTTCTAAAATATGTGATAGAGCTCAGAGCTTCCTCGTCTTGCAAGCAAGATGATAAGCACTAAAAATCAAAGTTAAAAGTCAAGTATCTTGTCTACTGCTCTGGCCAAGTCTGAATACCCCCTATTTTAAAGAATACAGTATTTATTAAGTTCAACCTGACTAGATAAATAGCATAACTGTCACCTACTGATATGGAGTAAATACTTAGAATAATCTGGTTCAAAAAGAAGGTTGTGCTTTCACTAGACCAGCTGCTTTGAATGTCTGTCATTCTGGAGAAATACATTTTATATTGTGACCCTGTAGATTTCCACATGGTTATTCCTGACCCACTAATGACCTCCCACCTAGCATGAAAAAATACAAAACTCACAACTCAGAACTGAAAAATACAAAACTGTTCACAAGGCTAGAACATTAAATTCTCACATTAAGGAAAAACTCTGTCCTTTCACTTCTAAAGTAGCAATACGTTCCCAGGTTATTTTTTACAGTTATTGTACCAAAATTCTTCAAATACGACAAAATATTTAAAACTAAAAGCTGGAAAATATTCTTCATCAATAAATAACACACAGCAGTGTTTCTCAAATAGGAGGTTTGAGATCCCACAGGAGTGACTCTACCTCTCACTTGGCAGTGTCTAGAGACATTCTTAGTTGTCACAAATAGGGGGAGGCATGTTGCTGACATCTCATTGGAAAGAGTAAGAAGCTGCTAAAATATCTTAGTGAAGGAATAGTCTCCAGAACAAAGAATAATGGGACCTGCATGTAAATAGTGCTGAGTTTGGGAAGTGCTAACTTAAGAGTCAAGGTTAGGAAATCTCAGGCTGAAAATCTGGTTTAGTTCTTGGCTCAGTCTCATTTGGCCTAGAGGGTAATGCTCTTCTACTCACTAAGGAGCAATGGAGAGAAAAGTTTTCTCCCAAAGGTCGCAGTTAAGGAAAAGTTTTGTGCTCACACTTCCCAATTTTAAAATAAGTAAATAGAACACTTCATTTTTCTTCAAGTTAAAGAAGAAAAATAATCCTTATTAGTCTTCAAATTTCAAATGATTTTCTCCCAGCATCAAGAGCTTTTTTTTTTATTTATTTAAAAGAGGGTAAAATTAAACAGAACAAAACATCATAAGAAAACAATTAAGAAACACAGACTTCAAGGCAAGACCACCAGAGATTTTCACTATCATATTGTCTCTTGGCTTCTTCCAAATAGGTGTCTGTATCTTCACACACAGTGAACTCATACCGAACAAAACAGTACTAAACTGATCAGAAAAGGATGATGAAGGCATTTTAGGTCTTCAAGACCAGACAATAGGGAGGTCAACAGTGGCTGCCATGTCTCTAGTTCTTTTCAAAATAGCTGTCCATATCTTTACATATGTTGAAATTAAACAAAAGAAAACAGACTAATACCACTCTAGACAGAGAATAATAGTATTGCTAGATTTTATATCATGACACCATGGAATTAGCACTGGGTATCTTAGTGTCTCATTTTCTTCAGAGTATCTGTTCATTACATCATACATTATAGAATCTATTCTCGTGAACTGTTAGAAGTTCTACACATGCATGAATCTCTACACGTATACCTATTCTTTCAAAACAAGATAACAACACAAATTCCTAGAAAAACATGAAATGAAAAAGACATATAAAACCACAATACTAGGTGATCTACAGTACTTACTATGATGTCTCGTTATTTTCAGAATTGTCTATATCATCAGGCATAATATAATTGAACAGCACTATCTAGCAATGTAAATAAAAACAAAACATTGGAAACATTATAGGACTTCAAAAGCAGTTAATAATCAAACCAGAATGGGTATCCTATTACATCTTGTCATCTTCAAAGTAGTTGCCTCTGTTCTTAGACTTGATACTATCAAGCCTACCAAATTCAAATAAAATCAGTCAAGACAAAACAGCGATCTAACAAACCAGATTCAAAAAAGATCAATCATAGTAAGACAGCGTAAGTAATACAGGGCTTCAAGTTAAGTTAACAGGAAATTAAGGATAGTTACCGTAGTATAACCTATTGCTATGGGATAGCTGTCTGTGCCCTCAAATAATAGTATGAGTAGACTGGAACAGAATAAAATCAAACTAAGCAGAGTGATAAGATTAATGTGGCTTTTAAATCCTGATACACTATTAACAATGTCCTCTGCCTTCCTTTTTTAGACAATGCATCAAGAGTTTTTAACATAGGGAGAAAAGGATATCAATAGGATCTGAAAAACTGACTAGTGTTCAGTGCTTGGAAGAATAATCATCTGTGACAAGGACACACTACCTACTTTTACTTACCGTATTAAGGTAAGAAGTGACCAAAAACTATTACAAGTGGGAAACTAACTTCCAAAATAGATGTCAAAGGTCTAGTTCTTATTCTCCCCAACCACCCCAACATGCCATCTCCTTTCCCAACCACATCTTCACCACCATCCCTGTCAACTAATCTACCTTCTGTTCCTCCCTTACATGGATTCCACTCGAGTATAACTAATCATAAACCATAGAAAGCTCTTGGTGTAATTTTTGAATTGTACTTTTATTCAGTGTAGAAAAACAAAAAAAAACACTGAAAGCTGATCTTAGTGCTCTTTTGTTCAGATGCAGATTTACCTAGGGGATTACTCATAGAACACATGTTCACTTCCCTTGAACAGTGTTAAGGTCAGATGTGTTAAGCCACATACAAATTTGGATACTTTTCTAGGAAAAAAATGCAATGATCTTTAAAACTACTTATCCCTAGAGAAAACAGAAAAAACACTAAATACATTCAAATGCCAATAAAATAATACAACGTGAAATGCAAACTTATTGTATTCTAGCTAAATTCCAAATTAAGTATTTTTAGGATAATGTTCTGATGATGATTACATGTGCCCCTCTAGCCACAGTCATATTTTAGTAATATTATTACTAAGAAAGATGTAGTACAGATTTTTAATCATATGAACTCTGTGAGTGGCAAAAATACTTCCTTTCACAGCAGCCA